TTTCCATGAGGAGGCCAGGTAGGCAAGTGACGGAACATGGGTCACAGTGCAAATGCTGTTCCTTACATGCTTAAATATAATATTGTAATGAAAGTACAAAAAAGCAGAGCTAGTGTCATGATATCATAACAGGTTTCCTTATTTTGGCATCACTGTGTTTAGTAACAGATATTTATGCCATGTATACTTACATTACAGATGTACAATTCAACTTGAGGACACCAGGACAGAGAAATCTTGTTTACTCCATGGATCTTCTTCTGTTCCTGCATACCTATGGGGTTGGCTTTGCACCTTGTGTATTTTTCATAATAAAATATATGAGTCAGGCACTTCTCCTGTCTAAACCTTTTAAAAATACTGTACAGCATAGGCATCTGTGACTCAGGCAACGATCAGCTATGCCCTTTTATAGCTGGATGTGTGCATTGTTTGTTTCACTGTGTTTTATTAACAATCCATAATTGGCTGGGTTCCCACAACATGCCAAGCTACAAACCATGGTTTATAAACCAACATGCTAAACCAAAATGTAGTTTGTACATGCTAAACCAAAATTAAAAATAATTATAGCTCCGAAGCGAGAGCCATCCAGTTTGGCAGATTGCCAGGCTAGGCATCCTTTAAGGTAGATAAAAGAAGCCCACAACCTTCTCTGATGAAATTAATAACATCACGTCCTCTAAAAAGCGATAAGAAGTTTTTGCAAACCAACCTCCATAAAAAGGATGCATTCTTCTGTAGACCTGTTTCAACTGTGATAAGCTAAAGGTGCAAGTCATTTTGATCTCCCTTTAGCCTAACATAATGAAAGTTATTTTCCCTTGTTCTTTTGACATTAAATGGCTAACCATCCATTGGTGCCGGCACGCACTCTTGTTCAACCCATAAGCAAGCTTTCAGTAAGAACATACAGTAGGTGTTTTATAGTTTTGTTTTCTTTTGAATACAATCCATATTATCCTTTGTACTCCCATATCTCTATCCATATATATAGATTTTTTTATAAATTAATTGAATGTTTGAGTGTACTCTGACAGTCTAATGAGAATTTGATGTTCTCCCTTATTGTTTGAAATGTCTACAGTACTTGTATGTACTTCATTGTAATTAAAAGGAAGTGATTATAGATGATTGTTTCCACAATCCCAATTAGTATAAGTATCTAATAGTCTTTATTTTTCCCCTCTTAAGAAGCAGAGAAAAGATGAAGAGGCTATGATGGCAATCTAAATGGATATCTAAACCTTAAGTCCACTGCCCTCCCTCAAAGGTTAATCAGGGTCAGAAGAGATGGCACCTTCTCTGTTACAGAAGTATTTAATATCCACCTTTCCAGGGAACAGAACTTCCTTTTTCCTTTTGTGCTATTGCAAAAGTAGAATTATGCTAGACAATTTAAAATATAGTTATTCAAATGCTGCTAAAAATACACATCAAAACATAAAGTATAACTTTCTTCCTTTCATAAAAGTTTGAAAGATGTTCCAATAAAACATAGCTCCTCAGCTATTTGGAGTATGAGTTTTTTGGTAGGCTTGGGCTAAGAAATGTAAACTTCCACCAAGTTTTGTCACAAAAGAGAAATAATGGACCATTTAATGAAGGCTGTAGATCTGGGTTCATATTCAAAAGCTTCAAAAGCCATACAAAGCTTCTGCTGGATCAGTGAGATACTGAATTATCTACCAGATCTTGTTTTACTTTAAGTGTGGAATTACTGTTGCTGGCTGCACTGCTGTCTCTCATACTCCTTTACTGACTGAGAAAAGGCCTTGTTGTACTGCAATTATATTTACATAGTTTATCATGGTTACTCTCCAATAGCTACTATAGACAGTGTCTTTGATGACAAAAGAATAATCATGGCCTTTTCCCCACTGTTGAGTTAAAGTGCTATCCACCTATCATGAGCAGAAAAAAATAAGTTGTCTGACTATATTTGTGGCATGGTTAGGTGCAAGTGGAGAAAGCCTCCATGAAGACTTTGGAGCCCCCTTGAAAATTAGCAAATAGTCACAATATCTGTTGCTTCATTTACAGTATGCTGGTCCCAACACCACTGTGGACTTCTTAGTAAGTTCTCTTCCTCAGTGGCTGTTTTGAAGCTGAAGCTGAGGCTTCCAGCTTGTGAAAAAGAGGATCAGTTGAAGGACTTTGGTGCAATCATTCTGCAAATTTCAGACATCTGTAAATGGTGTGAAATATAGCTACTTTTGAATATTTGGACTGTAATGTGAGAAGCCAGTTGAAAAACAAAATCCCTTGTCATATTATGAGTTGATAAGCTTCACTGTGAGAACCAGGCATGTACAGTGCAAAACAAGCAGGACAAATGTTAAGAACAACCACCACTATGTAAGTAATGTAGTGTAACATAAAGTAAAAACATATTGTGAGAAAGCTGCATCATGCAATTCTTTTTAAGTTTCCTCTAAACATGTCTCCTTGCTTAAACATTGATCTGCACATTTATGAACATACATAATATGTACTTGGGACTGTTGAAGGCCTGGTTCACAATCACACTACTGATTTGCTTTAAATATGATTTATTACATGAACTGCAGTTGGCAAGTCTGTATAACACTGTAAGCTAAATCATTATTTGTAAATGTAGCTGCATTTTCATAATGTGCTAAGCCAATACCAAACAAACCACACGATGACTTAGTGTGCTGAGAAAATGCAGTCTGTGACAATAAGAAGTGTAAGAAATATGAACATTGCATCAAGTTTCTTGGGGGAAGAGTGATATAAATTTACAACAAATAAAATACTAATCAGGCATTAAATATGATAAGCAGGGCTGTAACAGTGGCTTACTTTGCACATAAAGTGATTTGTTCTTGGGTTAGTTTAGGGGAGGGAGTCAAGCTGGTGGCAGCATCAAGCTGACCTTGGCTGATTTGGGAAAAGACTAAGCAAGATCAGACTTCTGGAACTTAGAAATCTGCTAGGAACCCCCAGAGTTATAGACTAAACTGAAAGTTGAAAAACATCCTGAAAGAAACCAGCTTCATATTGTCATCCAAAAAATCTTCATGGATGTGATAATGAAATCACAAGTCAAAATTAAATCAAGGGAGCCATTGGTTTTGGGGGGGGGGGGTTTGCACTTAAAAATTTTTTTTTTAATCTCACCTTTATTATTTTTATAGGTAACTCAAGATGGTGAACATTCCTAATACTCCTTCTTCCTCCTATTTTCCCCATAACAACAACCCTGTGAGGTGAATTGGGCTGAGAGAGAGTGACTGACCCAAAGGCACTCAGCTGGCTTTGACGCCTAAGGCAGGACTAGAACTCAGAGTTTCCTGGTTTCTAGCCTGGTGCCTTAACCACTAGACCATACTGGTATTTGATGACTCAGTGCCTCATTTAATATTATTTAAGATAAGTTGATCTGTCTCAAATGATCCGATCTGCAGTGAACTTTGAACATGTTCTGAAACTCAAGATCTTATTGAAGCAGACAACACAAAACTAGTTTAGTTCAATATAATTATTATATTTGAATTCTATGTTTGTGATTGTTGTCTTCCATTGGTTTTCCTGTACTGGTTTTCCATTTCTCATACTCTATTTTATACAAAGATTTTGCCTCACTGGTTTCCCAGAAGAGTTTATCAGTAAAATTCCTCCCTGCCCTCTCCCCCCTCCCCATTGAATTCTGTATTTCTGGGCTTTCAATGGGGAAATTCAAAGCACCTTTTTCTTTCACTAAATCTGGGCTGAAGGAAGAAGCTCCTGGTTTAAAAAGAAATAACCCTGCAGTTGGATAGACAAGGGTATATCAGAAGATCCAGCCTGAATTGATGACACCAATCATTCATATATATGTTCCCAGTCAGATTGACCATAACAGTCCAAATATATTTTCTCCCTCTATGGGTTGACTATGAATTTATTGTCCAGTTTTCAGCAGCCTCACCTTTTCACTGCAAAGTAGAAACAATATAGTGATTTCGCCAAGGACTGTTATGTGTGAGGTCCATACAGCAACTTTTGAAATAAGGCAACTTTTGTTCCTTTTGGATCAAAAACAATGCAAACAATCCTTACTGTTGAATATCCTAAACGCCTTTTTCCTACCTGGATACAGGAAATATTCCTGTAAATATTCCACTGAGTTAAAATTCATCTTAACTTTAGGCTAGCAATATTAGTGGATATACGTAGGCATTTACCCAAGGATTATGTATCCCCTTCTAAACTGGCTACCTAGGTTTTACTTTATGCAACAATGTTTATGCTACAATGCGACATGCCATGAAAACTTTTAAGAAACAAGGTTCCTTGAAAGATTGCAGACAAACAATTGCACAGTAAAGAATAAAGTCTTGCACTTAATAACACAAAAGCTACTTGTGCAAGTGTGAACAGCTGCAGATGCCCAACATCCATTGGAATCAATTCTTGGAAACTCAAAAGAACTTGGGGGAATCTTGTATTTTTTAAAACAAAACTCCAAACCTGTAGCCCAAGCAAAATTAGAGCATTTCTCTATCAAGTGTCAAGATTTTTTGTTCTTTCTCAAAATCCACAATGAACTTTTTTGACATTCCTTTTATTCTTCTCACATGTGACACATTGGGAATAGGGGTAGATGTCACATCACAATAAACCTGCTGAGCAGCAGCCAAAAAGGACAATGCGATTTCCCCCATTGCTCAACAGCACCCACAGAAAACCTCAATTGTGCTAAAATGACACATACACTGTGATGTCATCATGCAAATACCAGCAAGCATAATGTCTTTGTATCCCAAAATCTGACTTAAGTACATAAGTCACAGCTGAGGAAACGGGTGTTGTCCTATTTTGCTTCCAAAGATCACTAAAGGGAAGTGATGACAATGTTAATAGGCTCCAGCAGAAATGTCAGAGCAACAGTCATAGTGTTAGGGCAAAAATGGAATAGACCGAATAAATACATTTCATAAACAGCATAGCTGATATACACATATATAAAATTTATGAAAAACCGAGTCCAGCAATATTTTAAAAAATACATTTTATTATAAATCTTGTAGTGTATTTCAAGTCACCTGACCCAGAACATAAATTGTGGCAGAAATGATTCACTCTAAAATTATAATCCACTTAGGTTTCTTACATTCTGTGCAGACTTTTGGCAAAACAGCATCAAAACGTTATTGTGCTCAGAAAAGTATTTTTGTTAAGTGTACTTAGGCTCATATTTGTTCCAGCCTGATACATCAGCAAGTATTCTTTCAAAATATTCAGTAACTTGGAATTACAGACTGTGATAGCAGAAAGATAGCACCTTTAGTAACTTTGTAGAGACAGTGCATGGATTGACTGTGTTCATTTAAAACATTAGCAAATCAACTCTTTACGTTATGTACTGTATGAGGTCAAAGTGCGCAAGTGTATCATAGCAACAAGTTTTATTGTAAGAACCAAAGATTTTTTATTAAAATCTGAATTAACGCTGCTATTACCAATGATGCCACTGTGATACGCCCACAATGGAGTGCTCAAGCAGTCCATAAATACCTCACCAGGAGTACCTTTACTACAATCTGACTGCCAAATATGCACTTGCAATTAGCATAACAACTAGACTTCTTTTTCATGATTAGGCTCTAAAAATAGTTAACGTAACATTCAGTATTTTCCAAGCACTTCAGCAGAAACAAGCATTCAATATTTCATCAGTGTTAACTGCTAAGCCTTTGCTGGTACACTGTACCAACTGCACGTGATAGCCTCACATGGGTGGGATTACCTATTCACCGGAATCTGAGTCCATGCAAAAGTGGACATTAGCAAATACGCAGGCAGCGGTGAAACTGCCATAGATAAGCATGGGTGCGGAATTGTCACAGTGATCCTTTAAACATGCATTAGGATTAGCTCTTTAGCATCTCTGCCTTAAAGAAAAAGGCAGGCTAACCTATACTGGCACTAGCTGGGCCCTTAACAGACTCCCAGTCTTAAGAAGCATCGGTTCTTTGCAATGGAATATTCTCTCAATCTGTTCTTCACAAAATAAAAATATTCTACCAGTGTCACTCCTTGCTGCTGCATGGATAATGTATTATTTCTCTTGTGTCCCAGTTAATGTATTTCCTAAATTCTTTAAAAAATTCAGGTATTATATCCTCCACAGTCTATTTATCATTATACTCATATAAAAGGCCTCCAATAAATTATACATGCATTTTAAAGTTGCATTTTATATGTTGAAGTACAGAAGGAGGCTGTCAGATTAATGTATCAAACACAACCTAAATCCATATTCTGAAATCTTTCCAGTTTGATGGTTGCATAAATAATACCATTCAAAAAAGTTGCCTCTTTTTACTTATAGCCTCATATCCTACTCAATTATATTAAAGGTGGAACTAAATCCCATCCATTTCAATTCCTTTGAAAATCCTTTATGGTTTTCTGTTTCCCTCACTACAGATAGCTAGAAGCCATACTGCTAATTTTTTATGGTCAACATTTACTTTCACAATACATACTCATTACTTTCTTAATATTTTCAGATTATTTCCCATTCATATCCAAATCTCAGTATTTAGGAAAACAACAGAAAGATACTATCCACAAATATAGCAATTTGTGGGAATTCAAGTAATGTTAACTATTTGGAGTTCACCATTATACCATATGTCAGCAATTTATAAGACTATTGTATGTAACAAAGACATGTTACCACAATCTGTTCAGCTAGACTTTCTCACAGGCTATAAGTGTGACGTGCAAAGAGATTTAAAGTGACTTGGCTGAGAAGAAAATTAGTATTGTGTGTTGATATTCAGACAAGACGTATCATTTTTTGAACATAGCAAAACATAGCATAGGAATCTGAAAACATTAGAATTTTGGAGTGTTAATCTAAATTCCAAAAAGGCCAATATGTACATTATCCTATCCATTTGATAATCCTAATAGTCTATGTTGTACAAACTGCAGTACTAACACAGCATTTATAAATTGTGTTGTAGCATTCCATTCAACATTTCTTCCATCTCACTTAAGTCCTTGCATTGAACAGGAGTGACCTCAAGTACTTTGTTTCATTAATCCCAGCTGAAACTTTGGTTTGATCCCATTTCAATGTGTTGGGCAAGTGTATTCTTCATGCAACAGCGCTCTGCCTTGATACATTTCTTATTTTTTGCTTAGGAACACACCAGTCATCTGCTTCTACAGAGGTTTGGTAATGTTTACAAGCAGATTTATTGAAAACGGGAAGTTTTTCTACAGATTCTGTAGAAAGGGCCTGGAGAGTTAAAAATACAGATTAAAACAGTTAGACACTCTTGTTACTGTTTAGAGGTAAAAATATTATTTTGCCACTATTTGCATGCATATTTACAAGGGGAAGTTTGATTAAATCATGAGAAATTCTGCTAGTTTAAAAATTCTTGTAATGTTTTCACATTTTGCCAGACTTTGTACATTTTTTCATTCTTCCAGCCAGCATAGCTGATAAAATAAACACGTATGTGGTATTTTTTAGTAGCTGCTTTAAGAGGCCTCATTCATTTTTTCATGTTAAAAAAGCCAAATTACATTTATGAAATGGAATTTTGTTTATTAAGCAGAGTCTGGGTATTTATTATCTAAAGTATACTCTGCTTTCTATACAGAGTCAAGTCAAATCTTGGTCATAGACCAGCATAATTCTGTATCAAATATCTTATAATCCAACAACTAATATGATTCAGAATAAAACATTTGCAACCATCCATTTCAACAGAATAAAAAAGTCTACTCTGCCAAAGCCCACTGAAATAATATTACATGAACTATAAATAAAGGCAATTTACTATCTTAAAAAGGACAATGCACAAGTGACTAGTTGAAAGAAGAAAAGTGCAGAGCATACCTTTAAGTGGATAATAGCATCTGTTCCATAACCCGAAATAGAACACAAACTAAGGTCTCCATGAAAGTATTTAGCATAAAGACGAGAAATTGGTAATCCATAACCAAATCCAGCCTAAAAAGAAATAAAGTTTTTTTATTAATTGAAATGATATTTTTTTCCTCCTAGTTTAAGCTGTGTTCAATTCAGGTAGCCTAGTGGTTAAAGGTGTGAATGAAAATCCTATCCCTCATACAAGGAGAACTGAGACAATTTTAATTTTAAACATTTACTGAATAAGTACTCTACGGATAATATAACAATGTTGAGAAGAAAATACACAGGGACTGTTTCTGGTTTTGCATTTTAATAGCTATGCTGTAGTAGTCGGATTTAATTTCTTCTGCACATAGCATATCTGAATGGGCTGTCTTTTAAAATGCAGATAGGTGCTCTTAGGACAGAATATTCCCTCCCCATAGAAGCCCCATAATCACAGATACCAAGATCTCATGGAAATGGTTAGGTTAGAACTCATGACGTCAACCCCCAACCTGGAAGGCACTTATATATGGCAGAGCATCCAGTTATGGGAGACCCCCTAGCTTCACGAATATGTAGCTTGTATACAGTTTCATTCTCAATGAGAAGGTTCTCTTGGAAATACTAGTGATCACTGTAAGGAACAATGCAGTCGTTTGATACAACCTTCCCATCTGGAAGCCTTCCTTGTGTCTCACTTGTCCCTGGGTCTATAAAATAATGCCAAGGGCAAAGAGCATCAGTAGCCTAACTGACCTCATGCAGTGTAAGTCTTATGGCTTTGTCTCTTACCAAAGGAGTAGAATTGCTGCCATCTACTGCAGGCTTCGGTGCTGTAGAATATGTATAGCTGAAGAGGCTTTCTATTTTCCTCACTGGAACACCACCACCTCTGTCAGAAATCTAGTTAGAGACATTAAAAATAGCCACACAATTGAATTGTTTGTAGCTGAAACAGTCATATTTTCTAATGATTCTTTTTGCATAGATTTGCACATTTAAAAAAAACAACCTCTGCCAAAATAGTATTTGGCTGAAGATTGTTTGCCTATTTATAAGTGGCTGCAATCCACAACCCATCTATTTATTCCATACTAAGCCTGCTTAAATCAATAGGCCTCTCCAACAGTGAACAAATTGTTTACTGCACCTGCTGAATTCTCAGATAAAGTGTAATAAGTACCTTAATAGACAGGTCTTCTTTTCCAAGTACAACAGTCACCTCAACAGGATCAAGGGAAGGTTTTTTTTCCTGGTATTCAACTGTTGCTCTCATTGCATTCTACGCAGAAATTAAGATGAATTTAATTTAGTTTGTAAAGGTTTTAAAATATTATTAAACTTTTCCCTATCCTATTGAAATAGGAATTTGCTTTTGACAAGGAAAACAAACTGCATACATGCTTAACTAATGAAGTAACAGTTCTTTGCCATCATATTAACAAGAAGAATATCGTATTAAGAGAGACTCAAAGGTGGTGATGACTTCTTTCCATTTTTCTGTGCATCTTCATGCATTCTCGTCCTTGTCAGGAGCCCATTTTCAATGCTCTGAAAGAGCCACTTTGGCTTTAGCCGTCAGTCCTTCTGTTTTGATTACTACTGGGATGCTATGTTGGGAAGGGTGGTATCCTGTAGGAACCCGGTTGTTGCCAGAATTTCTAACATCCCTTATTTTGGTATGCTTTGTGCAGATGCTGGAAATAATATTTCAGCTAAATCTGGGACAGGTTATCTATCATTGTCCTAATGCATACTTAAAATACAGATGTTAAAATTACAAATACAAACCTTGAAAAGTTCAAACAGCATGTGAAAGAGGTGAGAAGGTACATATACTATGTGAATAGGCTGTCCAGCTGCTTTTCCTAAAAAAAAAAAATACAGCATATAATCCCTTTCAATGGTTTTATTACTGACATTTTATCCCAAACAATTATCATTATGGATGAAAAGCAAGTTTTCAATGAGATCTGCACATTCCACATTGCATTCTGAGATATATCATCTTTTATTTTCTAGCACTTTAAGTCTGACTAGTTTTGCAAAGCTTTAACTGAATAGAGTATAGATTTTAATATTACACCTTTCCCTATAATCTGCCTGCACAGAATCTGGGGAACTCATCTGGTCTTTCTTTCGTGATAAAACATTCTTGGATTATTGCAGTGAATTTACCCTTTTCTTTTAATACACCCTGAAACCAAATATTACACAATTACATGTCAAGGTCCTTCTCTATTTGGCACAGTGCTGCATAAGTGAATGAATGCAACTGTGCATATGTAAGCATTATCTGTAGGGAAAATGTGACTAGCTTGCAATTCTAGGATATGTTTACTGAAGATAAGAGAAACAGCAGCAAGGATTATTGAAAGCGAAAAGCTTTCAGAACTAGACCAGTATAGTCAGAAAGAAAAATAAATCTTACCATTTATTTGAATAAGCTTTAACTCTGGAGAAGCGAAATAGTATTGATCACAAAGCATCTGGGAACTCTGGAAAGCATCTAAAATTTATTTTTAAGAACAAGATTAAACAACTTTTATGTTATAGTATTATTTTCTAAACATCAGACAACTCAGTATTATATAGTACTATTGCATGAAATTATCTGTGTACGTTTTCTATATTTACAGCAATTCGTTTATTGCTGTCAGCAAATCCAATATGGGCATAGAACACTATTGAAACAGATTAAGATTTCTCTATAAAGATATATTCCTTTTATGAAATATTACATTTATAACTACCTTTCTGCTTATGTAAGCACTCAAAAGGTGGCTTACAAAATAAAATACAGCATAAAGAACACAATAAGAAATGCAGTACGTTAAATCAAAATCAGTACCATTAAACTTAACAACTAAAGTATTTCTTAAACACTGGGGGTATGGGACCACATGCATCTCCTTAGGGAGAGCATCCCATATCCTGAATGTCATGGATAAGAAGCCCTTCTCCCACATACCAGACGGCTGAGTTTCTGACAGCAGCAACATCTTCAGAAAAAGCCATTCCTGCTGATCTAAATAATGGGGCAGGTTCACTGCAGGAGAGGCAGCTTTTCAGATTCTCAGGCTCTATGCCACTTAGGACTTTAAAGAACAACACCAACAACTTAAAATCACACTTGGGAGGCAATGGGCAGCATCTGCATAGGTCTCAATAGAGGCCACCACACAATTCCTGTACTTTGCACTGATCTGCAACTAAATCACTTCCTTTCCACCCAACTACAGTTTCAAGAGTAGCCCCACTGCATTGGACAAGACGTTTGTAACCAAGGCATGGCTAATTGTTGCCAATTCTGATGAGCTTAAGGAATATTATAATTAGTATATTGGCCACAGTTGTGGATATGTGCTCATCACAGCCACCACTTGCATATCTGGTGTCAAAAATCACTGCTAACCTACAACCTTGTTCTTTCTGGAGTTGTGCAATCGCATTCGAAACAGGCTTCACCTCAATCTCCAAGTCCAATGTTCTTGTTACCGAGAACATCTCTGCCTTCCTTGGATTTAATTTAAGCTTGTTCTCCCTTATCCAGACCATTATTGAAATCAGGCAACATTCAAAGGAACTGATTGCTTCCTTGGAATCATATGGGTGAGCACAGCAGAGCTGCGTGTCATTAGTGCACTGATGGCAGCCATCTGCAAAGTTCTGATTAACTACCCTGGTGTTTTTATGTGGACATTATGTATGTTCAAAAATAAATCTCAGAGAACTGAACAGGACTTACTACCATATAAATGAACGTAAGACTTCACCATAATGTTCCTATTTCTGAACTAATTATACACACTTGTATCACAGAAATCAACAGGTCTAATATTGTAGCCTAGATATGCAACATCCAGATATTGGCTAAATAAACAATATTTTATTTAGCCTGCAGGATCAACTAATTATGTTAAGTCAATTCATCCAATTAATGAGTAACTTGGCAGCACTGCTGTTGAAACCAATGAAATATTGATAGTTTTTGCACTGAGAAGGCTAACTCTTCTTACACCTTTTCAAACCTCTTGTGCTCCCTAGAAAAACAGATTCACTGCATTCGCATTTAATTCTAAGCCATGATTTTTTAGCAAGCCATCATAGTCTGATATACCCATGGCCCTAAGCACCATATTTGGGATCAAATAACATGCTAAGCCAAAAACCAATAAACCATATTCATCGTTTAGCACAATGTATGACCCACTGTTTACAGATCAAATTATATGATAATTATGAGTAATGCTTTCATTTTTATACATACCATGCACCAGATCCACAACATCACAGCAAGGATCAATGCATCCAATATGCCGTGGGTTACCCACATTGTTATTGTTATCAAATATAAGTGCTGTTGAAATAAAGACATAAAATTGAAGAAAGTTTTTTTTCCCCCAAATTACTCTCAATATCCTTTAAAAGTTGGTTTGTCAAAGGAATAAAAATGCAACTTACTGTGCTGGTTTATTAACATCCGAATAGATATCCTGTTCATGTAAAATCGATCCAAGAAATACTGAATATTTTGATTGATGAATTGGTCCATTTTAGATGAATCTCTGTATTCTAGGACCCCTTGTGCCATCACAGGCACTACATCATGATGTCTGTTTCGGACTTTAACAATGGCATCTATAAAACTGGGAAGAACAGAGAACTCATTTACCTACATAAGAAACTCTGAAAACCAAAATTGTAGTAAACAAATATACTTCCTTACTAATCTCAGCCATTAGATAGCAGTAAACACTTTGTTATACAAAAGATACAATAGAAGTAAAAAGAAATGTAAACGTATGTATTAGTTTATACATCATATGATTGATATGAATATTATTCTGAAACTTCATAACTTATTGTTGACATGTTTTATTTCAAAGTGTCACTTTTTGCTATATCAGATATCAGTTATGTCTCTACAACATTATTTTATTGTAATTCAGTTATTTGTCTAAGCTTTAGGTTTCAAGTTAGATGAATCATCCAAGGTTGGCCAGCCATTACTTAAAATAGAATAAGCTGCTGAAAAAAGACAATAGAGAGGAACGTACTCTGACAGAACTTTGTGGTCATCTATTTTTTTATCTTGGAATTCCACTAGTTCCAGTAGGCTTTGAACATACCTGTAAAGAGCATAAGTGATGTAAATATTAAGCTTTCAGTACAGAGAGCCAGTTTAGTGTAGAGTTTAAGGAACTGGGCTAAAAACCAGGAGACCGTGCCTTAGGCACAGAGCCAGCTGGGTGACCTTGGGCCAGTCATTCTCTCTCAGCCCTAGAAAGGAGGCAATGGCAAACCACTTCCAAAATCTTGCCAAGAAAACTGCAGGGACTTGTCCAGGGAGTCACCAGGAATCAAAAACTGGCTTGAAGGCACAAAAAACCCCAAAACAAAACCCAGTTCAGAGAAAACTTTCTTGCACATAAAAGGATAAGTAATGTTAACAATTTACTAACTCAGTAACCTCAAAAACTAGACAAGCTAGGAGCAAATAGAAGGACCTTGATTATGTATAAATGTGGAAAAATAACACCAAACTCCCTTGCTTAAATCAATGTTTTGAGTACTTAAATCAACATTTTAAGTATTTTCCCTATAAAATTTAGCACCTCATACATATCTCTTCTCCTTTCATCACCCATTGAAAGTTTTTAATGCATATTTTGTAGCATTTGGTATGCAATCTTATTCAAGTCAGCGTTTTAGAATTGCCAGTAAGTCTGAACTAAGATACATCAGCTATAACAAAATCTACCTTTGCTTCTTTATCTTGATATGACCAATGCCATAATCTATTATGATTTTTACTACACATAAAGATATACATAAGAGACATTAGTGCCTTTCTACTTATTCAGCAAACAGCTGCAGAGATTACAAAATGACATAACAGGGCTTCCAGGACTTGCTATTTTATTACCTACTGACATAGGCCCTTTTCATATTCAAGACTGTGCTGATCCAAGATCAATGTCACACCCCATATTTCCATAATGCTGTGTGGGGCTTGCAGAACTTTTTGCAAGTTGAACCAATCAATTTATGGCTGAGTTGCCCCTCCAGAAAAAGTAGGAAAAAAAATTGCAGTGTTTGCTTTGAAGCAGCGGGACAGGTGGTTTCCTATGATGTAGAACTCCTGCTTCATTTTCAGAGTTCTCTACTGAAATCAAGGCTGCACTGTTGGACCTTATTATTAACTCCTCATCCTTCCCAGTTGATGTGAAAGGGAGAATTTCCCCTGCCCTCCCAATCTCCCTATGGGCAGTTTATTTCTTCCTTGGTCTGAAAATGAGTGCTGTGAGAAGAGACTGAGGATGGGAGGCAGGACACCATTGGTAATACTACCTTAGCACTTTGCTATTGGCCAGCTGAAGGAAGCAGGAGTCTAGTCAGGGGGTTTACTGAAGAGCACGATGAGGACATTTGCAAGATGAGATTGTGAGATTTTGGAAATCAAAAATAGTGCCTATATGGATATATACAGTAGGTACCTGATAGGTACTCCTATCAGTCCACTATGAACATGTTGTCTAAATCCTAATGTCAATACATATAATCTTTCTTGTACTTGTTGATTACAAAAGTAGTATAAGATGACTAAAGTGTAGTAACTGAAGTATATTGCAAAATTTGCTACTTACCAACTCTTTACCAATTGTACTGAAGTTGTACCCAATAACGGACTAGGAAGGAGATCAATTTCTTTCAAAATATTTGCTAGCCGTACAGGAAGCTCATGCCGAAGGAATGAGAACGAGGTTCTTTCACATGCATTTGTTGAACCTATAAAAAAGACAGATAATTTAAAATATTTTCAGTGTAACACACTAGAACAGTTTCAATAAACTTCCTATCATATTAATATTACACACAAATAGCTCCATTAATAATACAAGTGAAGAATGTTGTAGGAACTTATAGGGAGTCTTTTTTAAATACTAAAGGAATGTCTACACTAACCAATCTAAGACAATCTGATATATTATTCTTAGAATCTACATTTGCTTATAATAGGGCTACAAAAATCTGGATGACCACTACATGGTAACAAAGGTTTACAAGTTTTCTGCTTGTTTGATGCCATCTGAGATTTCTACAGTCCAGATGAGATAGCTCTGGTTATAGCAATGTCAGTATTACAGATGCATTTGCATGGAACATGATTGCCATGTGGGTTATCCAAACCCAAATCAGCTGTAAATTATAGTACTGGTAATCAACATTTCTTGGTTTAAAATGCAAAGAAAAAAAGAGTACCATATATGCATTGCATCTGAGTTGTATTAATAAACTCTTACATGTGAATGGGTTTATATGGGGCATTTTAATTTAAAAATTACATTCATTATTAGGAATATGTAGTTTTAAAATGCCTCTAGCATTTCAAAAGTAGGATCATACACTTCTTTAGAAAACAGCTACACCTAAATGAAAGTCAAGTATTCCTAACCAATGAAATGACATAGGTTTGGTCAAGTCATATAAAACAAGCTATATATACATACCAATTAAACAATCACAGGTACTTAACTCACTTTTGTTATTATAACAGGCTGGCATTTCAAAGGTCGATAGTTGAATATAGTATCAACAATTTTGACAAAGACTACCCTTGCATATTACAAGAAGCAGGAATTCAGTAATACACTGAAGAATGCTGACTTTTTAAAAGTTCAGTTAAACAAAACTGGCAAAACAGCCAAAAACCAATTTATATACTTCGTAATAAATAAACCATTTGGACTGAAGAATTAGGGAAGAAACTAAAGCCATTAACACAATGAGAGATTATAAAGATTCCTACAAATATTTGTTTATAAAACACAATTAAAATATGCCTTACTTCTTTGGAACCTTTTTAAAACTTTGTCACAGACACAATTTCACTGAGTCAGAAAAGTAAAATAGCTGTGTATCTAAAAATTTACATTTTAGATACACCATCTAACAGTAACCAAAACAAAAATACCAGATGTGTCACATTATTTCCATAACAATTTAATAAGCATCATACTGCATGGAAAGAACAGCATATGGAAAAAATGTGGACATACCATCTTGTTTAAAACTTCAGTTCATTGCCCAACTACCATAAGATTTAGGAAATCTCACAAATCAAGATACGTTCCTACATCCTTGTTCTTTAATAAAAGCAAAATTGTTGCACAACAAAGTTGTAAAAATAAGTCGCACGAAGATGCTCAACAGGCTCTCTCCTAAAAAATGATAGAAAAAAAAAAGGCCATGGAAACTTAGCTAGAATACAAGGGCACGAGAAAGATGAAGAAATAAAGCAGCAGTGCAATGTTGCTCAAAAGCAGGTCCCAGTACAGTCAAGTTAACTTTGTCAGTTGCACATTAGAATGCAGTATAAAGGACAGGAACTATGGACTAGAGCTTATGTCATCAGATATTTGAATTGCATCAGATCAGATTTATGCCATCTGCAAAGGCAGACTCTAATCCATAGAAACTGATCCCAGAATGAATGTCTTATCTCAAAGGTGACTTTAGATTGTTGGGCTTTAGCTATAATGAACTTTAAATGGATGTGAAGCATCCAAAGACTGAGACAATTCTGTCTTCCCCATACAGCCACTCTGAGAGCATCCCAACACCGTCCCAACCTATTCAAATGCAAACTATTCTCATTCCCATCATTCTCTGGTAGAGGATTCTCCAACTTTGGAAGCCCCCCAAATGGGGAGAAATCCAAATTGTGCACTGCTCCTCACTCATGGCCCCTATTCTCCTTTCTCAAGCAAGAGCCTACAACCTCTAAATCGTCCTCACTTCAAAGCATCTCATGTGGGACAGCACTGACACCTGCCTTCCCAAACGCAGTCCCTGACAGATGTGTTGGACTACAATTCCCCAAATTCCCAGCTGGCAAAGAGGTACAGTCCATCACATCTGGAGCCCTCCAGGGCGGGGAAGGCTGACCTACAGCATCCAGCAGAGGTCTCTCTTCCTACACCCCCATTCGCGCCCCTCACCGAAATCCAGGAACTGCTTGATAGAAAGCGGCGACGGAGAGTAACGCGAAAAATGTTCCACCTCTCTGGTTACCCCAGCCCCGCTGATGGCACCACCCGCAGCAGCCAAAGGAGCCGCGTTTCGCAGGGCAATCCGGGCTGCCTTCATTGCGGCTGCGGACAAGACTGAAGGCGTCACTGTCACAACCCACTCGCCTTAAAGCCTGTGACTGGCGCCCTGCACGTGCGACCCCTATTTACTAGTGCGGGACCTCCCTCCGGGGCGGGGCTTCGAATTAAGTCACGCCCCGAAGGGGCTAACTGTCAGAAATGGAAGAAAGTCGAGGTGTAAGCCACGCCCCCTTATAGCTAACTGTCAGAAAAGGACAAAAATGAAGACCGAACTCCATCACTTTGCCCCCTGGAGGGTGACCCTTACTTCAACAGATCCAAGCGCCTTAGAAGGAGGGACGGGGAGGTATAAGTTAGGAGGTGTGTCTCTGCCGCGTCCAATAAGACCGCGCTGTCCTTCAGCCTTTTCCCCACCTTTCGGATATAACACGCGAAAAACTACGTCTTTTAAACTAAATTATCTCCTT